TAACCGGAAACTTATAATTCGATTGCTATAGTGTTCGGTAGTTCGAACCGAACCATAGTCATCCCTACATATACATAATAATTTATTGGAGAAGAAAAATAAATAAAATGTTTATTTTAAGGGTAAAAATGTCAATTTAATATATCAGAATGGAAAACGACCACTTTTAGAATAATTCAGGGGGCTAATGTGCTTACATGAATAATTCAGGGGGTAAAAGTACTATGAGTATCTAACTCAGGGAGAAAATGTGCTATTTTCATATTAGGATCTAATTGCATTATTTTATCGATTTAAATAAAATTTAATTACACTATTTTACCTTTTATTTATTTATTTATTTATTTATTTTTGAGAGAACACTATTTTACCTATTTAAAATGCCTTATTTGGATGAGAATATATTTTCTGTATATTAATCAGGAACAGCGGGTACAAAGTATATAAAGACAGGAAATAGAGATCTGGTCTAATACTACTAATATAATAGGGATCTAGTCTAATACTACTAGTAGAGTCCTAATACTCCCCCTCAAGCACAAGGTTGGTTAGCCAAAACATTGAGCTTGCAATGGAGTAAATTAAAACGCACAGACGAAAAAGACTTAGTAAAAATATCCGCTATATGATCTTTGGTAGAAATAAAATTGACTTGTAATTCCTTCTTTGAGACTTTATCACGAACAAAGTGGTAGTCGATCTCAATGTGCTTGGTGCGAGCATGAAACATCGGATTAGCACACAGATAAGTAGCTCCCAGATTATCACACCAAAGTTTGGGCGCAGAAGGTGGCACAAACCCGATCTCCTTCATCAGGGAGATGAGCCAAGTAACCTCTGCAGAGACATCAGCCAGTCCTTTGTACTCAGCCTCAGTTGATGAACGAGACACAGTACGCTGTTTTTGACAAACCCATGAGACAAGATTGGTCCCCAAGAACACAGCAAAACCACTAGTAGACTTGCGATCATCGGGATTGCCAGCCCAATCCGAATCAGAATATGCATGAATATCCAGATAAGGAGAAGAAGCAATCTTAAGACCAAGATGCAGTGTCCCATTTACATATCGTAACACCCTCTTGAGAGCCGCCCAATCCGTAGTAGAGGGAGAGTGCATGTGCTGACACAAACGATTGACTGCATAGGAAAGATCAGGACGAGTTACCGTAAGATATTGCAGAGCACCTGCAAAGCTGCGGTACTGAGTGGGATCAGCGTATGGCACGACGGTATCAGTCTCGGCCTTCGTGGTTGAAACCGGAGTAGCTACAGGCTTGCAGTCAACCATACCTGCTCGTTTTAGAATATCCTTCATGTACAGTTGTTGAGACAGAAGCATGCCATCAGACAACGGAACGGTCTCAATGCCCAGAGAAAACGAGGGCACATCCATATCACGAACTTTAAATTCAAGAGCCAACTTGTCAATAAGAGCAGTCACATGAGCCGAATCAGAACCCATAACCAAAATATCATCCACATAAACCATAAAATACAACGATTATTGCCATGTGAATATATAAACAAAGAGACATTCGTCGTAGAAGGTGAGAAACCAACAGAAACCAGAAAGTCATGCAAACGAGTGAACCAAGCACGAGGAGCTTGCTCAAGTCCATATAAGGAACGTTGAAGGAGACAAACGTGCTCGGGCATCGTTTTGTCTTCATAGCCAGGGGGCTGGCGCATATAAACCGTCTCAGCGAGATTGCCATTCAGGAAAGCATTGTGTATGTCTAACTATCGAATAGTCCATCCACGAGAAACAGCCAAGGATAAAAGAAGACGTGTCGTAGTTGGTTTAACCACGGGACTAAAAGTCTCAAAGAAATCCTCACCAGCAACCTGATTGAATCCCTTGGCAACCAAACGAGCTTTGTAACGCTCAACCGAACCATCAGCTTTCCTCTTGGTTCTAAACACTCACTTACATCCAACCACATTCATACCTATTTTAAAAGGAACAAGCCGACATGTATTGTTGTGCACCAAGGCATTAAATTCTAAATCCATTGCATCCCGCCATTCGGGAAATTAGACCGCTTGGGTAAAACACGTAGGCTCAGAAGTGACGTCAGTAGATAGAGAAACATGATCATGCGGTCCCGAGCTCCGCGTATTCATCCTATGAGACCGAACGGGCGAGGACACGGGACGAGATCGACCCCTCGACCGAGCAGTTGGCTGGTCCGTAACTGTCCGCTCGGACTCGGTCACGGGCGGCTCGGCAGAAGCAGCCTTAATTAAATAAAGCCTTAATTTTACGCATAAATGCATAATATTAATTTGAAATCTATATATTTAGTATTACAAATGATCATCCTTAATTAAATTAAATCATCCTTAATTAAATTATTAAATTATTTAAATTAAATAAGCTTTAATTAAATCAATCCTTAATTTTACACGTAAATGCATAATATACATCCCCTATAAAAAAAGAAGAAAAACATAGACAGTATATGAAGGAGACTACTTGCAGGTATGATGGTAACATGGCAAATGCAGTACAAGGGCACATGAGATTTGAAGGTTTCCGAAAAACCATTAACCATGGCAGGTTTGCTCTCATTCTAACCTTATGCTTATCCTCTGGTTATATCATCCTAAGATATGCCTGTGGTCTTAATAGTCACATAATTATTTTCATCCTACAGATTAAATTTTTTATGTTCATAGATTCATTGGATAAGAGTGATATTTCTTGGAATGAGTTTTGTAATGAGGTTAAAGCTTCACATTCAAATAGGCTTGGAGCTCCTTACCTTAGAGAAGGAATCGGGGATTTACCCAGATTAGAAGAGAACTTCTACGCAAATCTATCTCATCCCCGATTGTATCTTTAATAGACCTCACGATCAAGTTAGTAGCTAGCAACTTATCATGTGCCAGGGCCGTATTGTGATGATGGAGTTGTTTGCCGATACGACTCCCCAGACCGCCGAGAACTTCCGTGCTCTCTGCACTGGTGAGAAGGGCGTTGGAAAGTCCGGCAAGCCCTTGCACTACAAGGGTTCAGTGATTTCACCACCGGAAACGACACTGTAGGAGAGTGGATCTATGGATCGAAGTTCAGGGACGATAATTTCGTGATGAAGCACACCGGCCCTGGCATCCTGTCCATGGCCCAACACCAACGGCTAGCTCTCAGTTCTTCATCTGCACGGTGAAGATCGAATGGGTGGATGGAAAGCACGTGGTGTTCAGCCAGGTGGTGAAGAAGGTGGAGCAGGCTGGATCCGGCTCCGGGAGGTGCTCAAAGCCGGTGGTGATCGCCAACTGTGGTCAACTCCCGTGATTATATGGCTGAATCATGCTCTCTAAAATCTTCCCTTCTGATTTGAATGTACTGTGTGTGGTTGAAAGTATTGTGTACAGATTATCTAACCGTCTTCTTCTTCTTCTTCTTCTCCTTCTTCTTCTCCTTCTCCTTCTCCTTCTCCTTCGTCTTCTTCTTCGTCTTCTTATTATTATTATTATTATTATTATTATTATTATTATTATTATTATTATTAATTAATTAATTAATTAATTAGTTAATATCGTTTCTTTAGTTAATTATTAAGTTTCCTTTTTTATTTTTTATTTTCTACTACTAACATTATTAGTATATATTAATCTCTTTTTCTATTTTCCTTTTTTACTACGAATTAATCTTATTGTCATAATAATATTATTATTATAATGATTAAACCAAGTAATTAGTTAATTTGTTAGAAATAATGAAGGTGGTGGTGTGGTAATGCTGTATGTGGGTAATGGATTAACATATATGGAACATTAGTCATAAATTTTAGCTTGGTTAATTATTCTTCTTTCACAATAAATAGAATATACTCATGCATTTTATTAATCAAGCAATCAAATTCTTTTATCATTTCATTCCTTTCTATTCCTCTCTCTCTTTCTCTCAATATATATATATATATATATATATATATATATATATATATATATATATATATATATTTATTTATTTATTTATATATACTTATATATATAATATAGATATATTATATTTAATATATCTTACATAGGTTAACTTTTCAACCCCGAGATATTTTTCGTAGTAAAATATGACTGTAAATTTCAATATTATATGGTCGGGTCTCAAATTGGATGAGAAACTCGATTACAATTATTGGCAAATTATGATGTCCATACATTTGAAAGCTCAAAATCTTTGGAGCTTTGTTGATCTCGGTCTACCCGAAGGAGCTGATGCAGCTGCTACAAGGCGAGATCGATTGGCCTTGGATCAGATTCACCAAGGTGTTCATTACCCATTTTTGGACAATTAGTTCGTGCTCAAACAACAAAGCAAGTTTGGGACATCTTAAACATGTTAAACAAAGGTGTCGATCGGGCACAGAAGTCTAAGTTACAGTCGTTGAGAATGTTGTACGATAATTGTGAGATGACCTCTACAAAAACAGTAGATACGTATTTCACTCGTCTTATTGATATGGTGAATAAGATGAGGTTATACGGAGCAATTGAGTAGAGAAAAAGTAAAGTTATTCAAAGCATAGTCAGAATTGTTGATGATAAGTATACAATATTATATCATATTTGATCAAATAATTGACTTGATAATTATAATGTTTCAAATTTAATTTTTTATAGCAGTTGTTCATTAGTATTTTTGGTCTTATATTTAGCATAATTCCAACTAAATTTATCATGTTGTTAGCTTGAAAACTACAAAGTTTTATATTCAACCCTTACCGCATGGTCAAACTCTACCCCGCCCCTTAGAATCTACGTACTCTGGGTCGGAAGAGCAACTAGTCCAACTTCTTGAGCAGCCAACAAGAATAAATGAATACATTTGTATTATATTTTTAGAATTACTCAGTCAAGCTGTACAATACTATAATTATATATATCATTGGAATATTAATAGTAGATAATGTCGGCAAATTGACATATAGGCATAGATGTAATAAAATATAGTTATAAAACTTGGTGCGTATGCCTATAAATTGGCATATACCATGCAGTTTGGCCATATACCTTCAAGCACAATTCTCTCACTTTCATCAGATTTGGCTTCAAATTTCCAATATATTTTGTGAGTTTAACATCTTTATTCAATTCATTCTTTTTTTCTTTTTCTTTTTTTCTTTTTGCAATATAGTTATATTTATGTAAATAGTATTAGCTGTAAAACTGTCAAAATTGTACTGTACGTAATTCTGAAAAAGATAGAATTATAAGTGCAGGAGTTTGAGATCGAGAAATGGGAAGCAACAGCACCCCAGTGGCAATGGAGATTGGAAGTGATGGAATTGTTGTGATTACTCTCTTCAATCCACCAGTAAATGCATTGACACTATCTGGTATGTAATACTAAACTATCCCCCACTCCCCCCCCCCCCCCCCCCTCCTCCCAACGTAACCCCTAGCCGACAAAGGACCACAACGAAGTAAACCAATTGAAGTTGCACATAGTTAACTGATTCAAATTAAAAAGACTAATCCTGAGTCAAACTTATAATAATATAGTTACCAATTCAAACTCACAGCCCTAATCAACTTAATTAACTCTCAAAAGGTTGAATCCTTACCTCCAAGGGTCTCCCACACTCTTGCCTGACAAAACGTTTAAAAAGATGCATATAAATCACAATATAATTGAGCAGACATGACCAGATACTGATACATATAAGGTATCTGTCTACTTTGATCATCTCTTTCAATTTTATTAATATGACAAGGTGCTTGTATTATTTTTATACACATAGTAACTATTGTGTTCTACTACATGTATTCTTAAATTCTACTTCATTACTTTTACTCTCTGACCTGATAAACAATGATAAAATACTATTATCATGTGGATCCTAATAAAAATGTCGACATCAAGAATTTGTGAGAGAAAGTATAAATTGGGAGCAAAAGGTGAAAGTCAATATAGTATTTTCCTTAACGATTTAACGGTGTGTGCGCGTGTTTATATCATCACATGGCCACATGAGGGCAGGACAATACTATAATATTACCCTTCCCCTATCCTTTCCACGTACCTTTCAAAGCCCCATTTTATATGACTTCTGCACAAATATTGCATGTGCACAAGCATACGTCGTACTTGTATGACTTTTATACACATTATTAGTATTTTTTTTATGCATGATGTGCAATAAAATATGTGTTAATATTAATATTTTATATTAAAATTTTAGATTTATTTTAAAGTTTAAATATTTAAATTATTGTAAATAATAATAATAATATAAAATATTTTTATAAATTTAATATTTATATTTTAGAAAATAATTAACATATACCTCCAATATATATATGTATATATTATTATTGAAGAAGATAAGAAGATATACGGTGGATGCATGTGCATGGTAACAATAGTGAAAAAGATAACGGAAGTTATAACAGTAAGAATATGTTTGTCCAAAATATTGTAAAGTACAACTTTTATAACGGAAGTTATTACATTTTTTAGTATAAGTATTATAGTTTCATCTTGATCCACTCGTCTCACGAACAAAGATCCGTGAGACAGTCTCACACAAGTTTTTTCCTAAAAGTAATAGTGATTTTTAAATAAAAAAAATTTTATTCATAAAATACAATATCATAAATTAAAATATTATAATTACATATTATTTAAATTAATATAATAAAAATTATTATAAACATTTTGGTCTAAAGTAATTAAAAATGTTCTTTAAGGACAAAATGGTCCTATCATGTGATATTTTATTTTCACATTCCATGATAAATAAAATATCTCCCCATCTCCTTGAAAAAAAAAATTCTCAAAAAATAACTAAATTACCTTCAAGCATTATTGCCACATCAACTTATTGGAGTAATATAACATCACCAAGTAATCTCATAACTTAATAATAAAATAAAGTAATAAAATATTACCATACTCACATTATCTTATAAGTAATCTTATATTAACTATACCAAACACTCCCTTAATTAGGTAATATAAAAGTGCACTATTACTCCCACACACCATAGTCAAAGTCTGTTAGGTCTCTATATATTGATTTTATTAATAGTACTATACGTGCACGATACATGCATATACTTGTAATATTATATTTGTACACACATGTTAGTCGTGTGCGTATAAAATCATTGCGAGATTGAATAATCTTTGTACATTTATGTACAAAACGCATCCAACTAATGAGAATGTTACTTATTGAAGCTAAATAGAAAGAATTACTAAAATTCTGTAGGTCGAATCTATCACACATAATTTTACAAATATTAATACTAGTCTTTAGACATAATCTTTCGACATTAAATTAAAAAAAAAAAAAAAAAAAAAAAACATAGTACATGGTCTTCATAGACTCTTTGGAGGAGCAGCTTATTGATCTTCTCGACTTAAACTAGTCAGTTATAGATAACGAACTTAGGTTGATTTATCTCCTTCTAGTCTTTACCGGCTAAGGTTATTATAAGGAGAGTTTCACCCAAAACGTACAGGATTTTTTTTTCGTAAATCAAATATAATAATATACAAATGTGTGGGTCCTGGTAGGGTAGTGGCGAAAAGTATAAAGGTGGTGGGGTGAATAGACTTTTTAAACTTTTTCACAACAATGAAGATTAAGCTTTTATAAAAATAAATTAAGTATAGAAGATATTTAGGCTTGAAAATATTCTAACATAAAATATGGTGCACTGCGGAATAAATGTACGTAAGAGTAAGATGTTAGAATATTGCAGATGATTTGTAGAAAAAAGAAAATAGTACATAAAGCAATAAAATAAAGTAAAGTAGAGAGTAAGAATTTTATAGTGGCTCGAAGCTGATATAGTCTTTCTACTCCACTCTACTCCTATATCCTTGAGGAATTCACTATATCAATCAATACTAATACTACTTGGAGTGCTTCTGCACCAATCTTGAACTCCTCAGGGTATTCACAACACTCTTTTGTTACTGTGCCCTCTACCTACACTCAATAGGGAAAGTGTTTACAAGAAAAATGAATTTTTTTCTCCAACTCTTTAGAGACTTTTAGAATAATAAAGCTTATGAAATTGCTAAGTCTATTTTCTAGATATTTCTTATGAAGATTGAAACATGGAGATTTTGATCTTGATGTTTTCTTTTGTATATTTTCCTGTATCGTTACTCACTTACTTGTTCTTCATCTTCAAGTCTTCATGTCATTTTCTAGAAAATCAAATTTATCTGTTGAAATGTGATAACTTTGATTTTGAATTCTTGGCTGTTGTAACTTAATTTGATCTGTTGAATTTTTTATCTTCACTTCCGATTGTTGCAATAGATCATTCTGACATTTTTAAAAATTATATTGTATATATAGTTCATTTTTATAAGGTGGTTTGTCCTCATTTATTTTTTTTTTTTTACAAAGGAAGGGGGATACCCATACAATCTATGCCTACACCGAGGCTTGAAACCTAGACGTCCCACATAGGGGAGCCATCCAATACCAGTGGACCACAAGCCACTTGGTTGATCCTCATTTATTTGAAAGTCTTATATTTTGTTCTTGTTCTTTATATATTTTAATTAGCTTATTTATCGTCTATAATAAAAATATTCATAAATTATTTGATTATGATATACAGCGTATATTTTACCCTTATCCGTTTTAAGGGGTAAAAAATAAAAAATTCATGCAACAAATAGGCCCAATTTACAATGTATTAACGGCAAAGGGGATTTCATCAAGCTTATCATATGCTATTCCATTACTTAGTTTAAAGTATACTAGATTTGAATTTCTGTCACACATTTTATCAAACACCTTCTGCCTTTCAACCTCAAAAAAGATGACTCCTCTAATATTCAATAAAGTCGATCTAAAATGGCCCAACCGGTACTCCATTCTCACATGTTACTTTAGTTCCTTGGTTTTCCCCGTGTGTGTGTGTGTGTTTAAAAAAAAATATATATATATATATATATATATATATTGCTAGATGTTTAGGATTTGTAAATGCAATTATATATATGGACATCTTCAACTATCTAATTTTGTGATCATTGTGTCATTAACAATTAATGGTGGGTGACAGTGATTGCCGAATTGAAGAAATGTTATCAAGAAGCAATGGAAAGGGATGATGTCAAAGGAGTAGTCTTGACTGGTGAGTGTTAAGCCGTACTTGTTACGGTATAATACTCATACACAGAAGCTTTATAGATGTAAAAATGAAATACGCAAACATTTCTTTGTTGTCATAATGCTTGTTTCTGATAGAAAGAAATGAAAATTTAGTATTTTCAACATAATGGATACTGCTATACCTTTGCCATTTGACTTTATGCCAAACTTGCTATGTATCTTTTGTGAGGCGCTAGGTAGGTGCTAGTCGGCGTCTGGGGTGCGCCTAGCACCTAGAGCATCTAGACAAACTAGTAATTTGAGTATATATATCGTCCCCACTTTTTCAATTCAGGGCTGTGAGTTGTTAGACTATAATCCCACAAACTAGTCAATTACGTATGTTAGATGGTTAGTTGGGTACATGACTGGAGAAATATAGATGATGAGCAACCAAGCAAGCAAAAAAAATGACTCGACCGAGTTGGGTGCCAACGCGACGCCTAGGGCGCCTAGTCGGCCAACTAGTTGGCCGGCCGACTAAAAGCCGCCTAAGGCTAAAATCGCCTTCGCCTAGGGGCGCCTAGTGCCTAACCGGCCGCTTAGGCCGATTTTTAAAATACTGTTTGTGAGATATTAGAAAAGTTTGCCTATGTTTTACATGTTATGGGCCTTTGTTTTGTTTGCTAATTCTGTAATTTATCCTTTACAGGCATTGGTGGAAAATTTTGTGGTGGTCTTGACATTGATATTATGCGAAAAATTCACAAGACAGGTAGTTGCAGTTACATTGCTTGTTTATAACATATATATATATATATATATATATATATATATATATATATATATATATATATATATAATTAACTTTGGATTGCACATTAACATTCCTTTTTATCATTTTTGATCTACCAGGGGATATCTCATATCTGCCAGATTCTTCAGTTGACCTGATAATGAACACAATAGAAAGTAATATGTTTGGTGCAGTTACATTTTTTTTTTTTATGAAATCCTGAGTTGTCTACTAATTTTTTGGGTCATTTTTCTCACATTTTGTTTGTCTAGATGCCAAAAAACCTACTGTTGCTGCCATTCATGGATTTGCCCTTGGTGGGGGCTTGGAATTGGCTATGGTTTGTTTCTAGTATCAACTTTAATGCTTGAATGGAATCTACCAAATTCTAGAGCTTCTGAGTTTTATGAGATTTATTTGTTAATTCCATATAGGGATGCAGTGCTAGAATTGCAACTCCAAGATCTGAACTTGCCTTACCCGAGCTGAAGTTTGGAATAATTCCTGGTTGTGGAGGTATTGCTTGGCTTGTTATCAATTTGACATCGGGTGTGTTTGGTAAATAGCTGTTAGCTTATTGGGTAATAGTGGCCGAGTTTGACTAGTTGATAGCATTAGCTGATTGTAGAAAGATGTTTGGAAAATTAGCTGTTAGCTAATAGCTGATTACACACAAAATGACTTTATCAAAAACTGATTGAGAAAACTTATTTGAGCAGCTTTTTGAATTTTTAGCGTTTTAAAATTTAAAGTAATAAACTGTTACAAAAATCTAATTAATCAAACACTCATATTGGTTGTTTAACCAAGTTAAACAGTTAATAGTGGTCAAACAAGCCAAAATTGGCTAATAGACTAACTATTTTACCAAACAAGGTCATCCTGTGACGTGTTCAATGTTAATTTTAGTTCATATGAAATCTTTTGCATAGAAACTTAGATTTTTGTTTGTATGTTATAAGGCACTCAGCGTCTTCCCAGACTTGTTGGGGTATCTAAAGCTGTTGAGTTATTGATGGTAAGACTTTTGAATTTTAATGCCAGAACAGGAACTTTTAGTTTATCTGATGATGGTAACTTACCTATCTGCAACTGCATTTTCAGACAACCAAAAGTATAACTTCTGAAGAAGGAAAGGAACTTGGCCTTATTGATGCTGTTGTATCTTCTGAGGAGCTCTTAGTTGCTTCTCGTCTCTGGGCACTTGATATTGCAGAAGGGAGAAAATCTCACATCAATACTCTTCAGAAGACCGATAAACTTGAACCCATCCATAAATCTTCTGAGATTCTGAAAACTGCAAGACAACATGCGATGAAGACACATCCAAAGTTTCCTCATTACATAGCATGTCTTGATGTTATTGAAGAAGGGATTATTTCTGGAGGACTTTCAGGTGTATTGAAGGTGAAGCTTTCTATAAATACATCCTTTAGTTTATGGGTATATGTCTTCATGTTTATTAACAAAAAATTAACAATTATTTCACTTTACTACTTGTAGGAACGAGAGTTATCGAGAGAGCTGGTACTGTCGAAACCTTGTAGAGGTCTTCTTCATGTCTATTTTGCTGAACGTGCAACTTCAAAGGTACAATTGTATTTCTCGATATCAAAATATGCATTCATAAGCAGTGTCTGGTGCTTAAACGTAGAGTCTATTCTACATAACTATTCTTCCAAACAATCCCAAAGTCCTGTTATGCGCAGGTTCCCAGTGTTACCAATAGCCAGCTTAAACCCCAAAAAGTGGAAAAAGTTGCTGTAATTGGCGGTGGTTTAATGGGTACTGGCATTGCTACAGCTCTAATTGTCAGCAATATACCTGTCATACTTAAAGAAGTCAATTATGAATCTGTTCAGAAGGCCTTGAAATCAATTGAAGGTTAGTACTCCCTCCCTGGATATGACTTTTGAGAATATTGGTAATATGCTGATTATCATCTCAAGAATATAACATGTCTTGTGTTATTCAGTTAATCTAAATGGCCTAGTAACAAGAGGTGAGCTAAAGTTGGACCAAGTGAAGAAAGCATTGTCCCTTCTAAAAGGTGTTACAGACTATGAAGATTTCAAAAATGTGGATATGGTCATAGAGGTAAACCATCTGTCTGTTATTGCAACCTTTAATAGTTTTCCAGTTTTCTAAAAACTGGAAAATTGTTTCCTGTTATCAAAATGGAAAATTGTGCTAGTAAACATGTTTTCTGTTTTTTGTTCTCCAAGAGAAATTTTCCAGTTAGTAAACGAGCCCTTAGCATCTTACACTTTTCTGTGTTGCCCTAAATAACCTGACCTAAATACTGTGCTAAAAGTAAAACTTTGAATGTTGCTCATTGTAGACATGTATGATTTCTCTAAACCGTATACTTCTTAATATTGGATTGTGTTAAAGGCTTTCTCTACTTATTACTATCATCATTTTTTGCTGTCAGGCTGTATATGAGGACCGAGAATTGAAACAATCAGTTTTTGAAGAAATTGAGAAGATTTGTCCTCCTCATTGTATCTTGGCATCAAATACATCCACTATTGATCTTAATGAAGTTGGAGCAAGGACAAATTCCCAAGATCGTATTCTGGGAACACACTTATTCAGGTAAGAAATGTCTTCTCATCATATCTATGAACATTTAGAAGATTTTATTTATTGATGATCTTTTTCTCCTTTTCTAAGTCCTGCTCATGTCATGCCTCTCTTGGAAATCGTGCGATCAGAAACCACTTCTAATCAAGTAATACTTGATGTTTTGAAATTTTCAAAAGTCCTTAAGAAAATTCCTATAGTGGTTAAGAACTGCACTGGCTTTGCTGTCAACCGAACCTTCTTCCCATATATGCAAGGAGCAGATTTGTTGGCAAATTTGGGTGTTGATATATTCAGAATTGATCGAGTGATCAGTGAATTCGGCATGCGGATAGGCCCTTTTCAGTAAGCAATCTGCAGCTATTTCTGCATGATCCTCAACTTGCCATAAGTTCTCTAATGATTTTTTTTAATTTCCATTGAATTTGCAGGCTTTTTGATTTGTCAGGATATGGCATATTTCTAGCTGGAGTAGGGCAATTTGCTACAGCGTTTCCTGATCGAACTTTCCAGTCTCCTTTAGTTCAACTTATGATTGAAAATGGACGCACAGGTAAGTAGCAACAAGCGTTTAATAAAATCTTCTAAAGGCATGGAGAAAGCTGAATCATTAACTTTGACATTCCAGGTAAGAAGGATGGAAAAGGTTTCTACCTATATGTGAAGGGAAAGAAGCCAGAACCCGATACATCTGTCTTGCAAATCGTTGAAGAATCTAGACGGTTTACAAAAGTTATGCCCGGAGGAAAGGTATAACACAGTTCAGCAACTTTCTTCCACATATTCTCTGTCGCGAATCATTGAATAAGAATCTTTACATGCTTGTCTTACTGCCATTTGCAGTCGATATCTGTAACAGACCAAGATATCTTGGAGATGATGTTCTTTCCGGTCATAAATGAGGCGTGCCGTGTTATTGAGGAAGGAATAGTTATCAGAGCTTCAGACCTTGATATTGCTTCTGTCCATGGGATGAAATTCCCTTCAGAAACGTAAGAACTATATTCAACTCTTCAATTTGCAAGTTTGTTATACCAATGGGATTATTTTCTTTTACAAACTTAGCTTCACCAATACAAATGTGTAGTTTCACTATCGACTTAAAACTATTTTTACCCATGACCTGGCTCTGATACCACTTGCCAGATCAAGCACTTACCACTTACGCCAAAAGCTATAGCTAGTAGCAAAAGTGCAAACTTTAATTCTTTATACCACCACACATTTTCAAGATGTTGGGTGTTGGACTTGGCCCTTTAGTCCCTTTACCGGCCTTTGCCCAACAATCTCTCAGCCACCGAGTGTTGGATTTGGCCCTTTAGTCCCTTTTTTGGCCTTCGTCCAACAATCCCTGAGTGCTGGATTTGGCCTTTTAGTCCCTTTACCGGCCTCTGCCTAATAATCCCTCAGCCACCGGGTGTTGGAATTGGCCCTTTAATTCCTTCACCGGCCTCCGTCCAACAATCCCTCAGTCACTAGGTGCCAGGCATTGCCTTTACTGGCCTCCGCCCAACAATTTCATTTATCTGTGTGGTGTAAAAATAAGATAGAAAGTGAAGGCAATAATGTTAGTTATATTTCTTTCATCTGGTTTGGTTAAATGGATGAAAATTGAGCTTCTTGTTTTGTTGGTTGCAGTGGAGGTATAATGTTCTGGGCAGATTCAATTGGGCCAAAGTATATATACTCAAGGCTAAAGAGTTGGTACGAGGCCTATGGTAACTTCTTCAAGCCCTCACACTTGTTGGAAGATAGAGCTGCTAAAGGCATTCCCTTGGGAGGGAATTTAGAATGATGTAGTGTCTTTCAATGGACACATGTTTTTATTGAAATTAAGCTATGCTAGAACGCACACATATTTAAACATTTATCTTGTAAACCACTTTTTGAATAATAATACAGTATAATTTGAGCTAATCTTACAAATTACACAAATTGTCACAAACCTGAATTTCCAATTTTGCTTGTTAGGGTCATATGTGGAGTTGCTACTTCGGATATGCTTGTGTTATGCACCTTGAAGTTTCTTTGTAGGGCCAGATGCCAGTGCGCACAAAGGATCTACCATCCTTAACCCATTTTAATTTACCATCCTATAACATTATCATCTAAAAAAGTCCAATTCACTCGGGGTTACAATTTATATTAATCATTATTCATGGACCATAGTCCACATATCTATGTAGACCATGAATAAAATGTACATCTTTAAAATATTAAAGGTACATTACTTGAGTATTGAATGTACATTATTTTGTATATAATCAAATAATGTACATTTAGTACATAAATAATGTATCTTTAATATATACATCACAAAATGTACTCGATCAGGACCTTTTACTCATTGTCGACACAAAAATTTACCAATTTGTATACTTAATAATATGGGCTATTTACTTTAATTCCTAACTTACATTCTTAAGTTTGATTAATAAATCGTGAGATACACTTCAACTGACTAACAATTCTCTGACTATTAATAAATTAAAATTTATGAATTTATTTTATATTAATTGAGTAGTTAAATTGTAACCGGCCGTATTCGTAATTTGCATTCTTGCTCTTCATAAATCATAAATAAATTACAAAAAAAAAAAAAAAAAAAAAAAAAAAAAAAAAAAACCCAGCTTAGGTCCTCCACTGCACGAGTGCACGGCTTGAAACCTCTCGAAATATCTTGTATGTAGTGGTTGAATTGTCATCTTTCCACTTTCCCCCACTAAATCAGACAACTAAACATACGTCATTTTCATCTGATACGCTAATTTTCAAGGAAGCCTTCATGTTTTATTTAGGAAAAAAGGTAAAAGGCCATGAAATTATTAGTTTTTGTGTAATTAAGCCATCAAATAAAAAGAATATGCAATTCAACCATTTAACTTTATAAATTTGTGTAATATAGCATTTTTAATAGATTGCTTTCAGGTTAAGCATGTAAGATGAATGGCATGACATTTTATATGACAATTTTTAATATTTAAATTAATTTATTATGAGTTTAATATTCAACTTGATCTACTCAAAACACTTTTTCAATCTTTTTCATCGTCAACTCTGTACAATATAATCAAAGTAACTTGCAATCGTGCACTCACATAGACCGATGGATGGCACTCCCCTCTCTCTCACTTCGTTGCATTTGGAAAAAAAAAAAAAAAAAAAAAAAAACCAGAAAAGATGATGTGATTTTGTACTCCATGATAGCCTTGGACTTTGATTGGATGGACTAGAAGTGGCTGCAACTCGAGAGGACATCAAAGGTATGGCTCTATACCTGCATCGATGATCGAGGCTCAAGTAGTGCTCAACTGCACATAATAAAACTCAGTCCACACACATACATCACATATGTCCTGCAAGCATTATATTGTGTCTCCGTATTATATTATTATTTCCTATTGGATTTTCAAGCACGTGATTGGACGTATGATAGTGGTTTGTTTCTTTTGAAAAATGTTATATGTATCATTTTGTACTCTCAATTTGTATTTTTACACATAAAATATTAATGTAAACACTTATATTGAGACTCACATGAAAAAATAACTTATCAAAATTCGTCACATCAGGAAGTAAAATTTAAAGAATAAAATTAGGGAGTACATGTAGTAGAACACGTCTCTTTTAGTATGATGAATGTGGAAAACCAGTAGCATTAATTTAGAAGTGATTGATTGTGAAACTAAGGATATTGTGAGCAAAAGTTGATCAAATTTTTGGTGAGAAACAATGGAGCAAAATAAGGAGTAAATATTAAACTCATAGTAAATTGATTTAAATATTAAAAATTGTCACATAAGATGTCATGTAATTCATTTTACTTGTTTAACCTGAAAGCAACCTACTAAAAATGGTGGGCTATCATCCGGATCAAAGTTGGACAAAAATTCTCATTCTAAAAATGGTGGGCTATCATCCGAATTTTCCGTCCAACTTGGATCCATTCGACGGAACTTCCGACCAACATGTCATGTTGGACGGAATTACTGCAATTTGGACGGAATGTTGGTCGAAAATCCGTTTTTCGACCAATAACCCCAAGTTGAACGGAAATAATAGGATTTCCAGTAGTGACACACAACATATTATGTATCTTATGTTATGAATTTATATCATGTGTTGTGAAATTCTGTGCCTATAGAACATAAATTCTCTTCATAAATCAGATTTGAGAATAAGTAAATTTATAACATGCGTATGCGTCTTGTGTAGTGAGTTTTTGTATCTTGTGTTATGAAAGTTTGTAACTTAAGAGTATCAATGCCGTACCTAGTATAGATTAGTAGTTTTGTAACACACAACATATTGTGTGATGCTATGAATTTATGTCTTGTGTTATCAAATTCTATGTCTATAGAACATAAATTATCTATATAAATCAGATTTGAAAATAAGTAAATATATAACATGTGTATGTGTATTGTGGTGTAAGTTGTTCTGTCTTGTGCTATAAAATTATGTACCTTAACGGGACGCTTAGTTGGAAGGAGGGAATTAGGTGGGAAAGAAATTGCAATTCTATGGAAGATGAATAATGTGGGAATAAAGTGATAATTTAAATAACAATGTTTGGTTTGCAAGGATAGAATTAATAGGAATTACAATTCTAATGTTTAGTATATATGAGAATTGAAAAGGAATAAGTAGTATAAAGTTCTAAATGCCTGTACTACTTCTTCTTCTTCTCTTTTATTATTATTATTATTATTATTATTATTATTATTATTATTATTATTATTATTATTATACTTCTTCTTCTTCTCTTTTATTATTATTATTATTATTATTATTATTATTATTATTATTATTATTATTATTATTATTATTATTATTATTATTATTGTTATTATAATTTATTACTATTATTATTGTTGTTGTTGTTGTTGTTATTGTTGTTGTTGTTGTTGTTGTTGTTGTTGTTATTATCCTAAATGACTAAATTCAAAATTGTTCTTCTAAAAATTTATATAACACGTTGTAAATAAATCCTAGAATTGCATCACGAAAGAAATAAAATAGGTTAGGAAGTTTTGAGAAAGCATACAACAATTTTAAGTTTAAAAAGAGGGGTAATTTTGTCTACCATTATATTATTTTTCTTCTTCCTAAAATCCATGGAATTGAAATAGCAGGGCGGCATGGGATTCTAATTCGATGAAAATGATGAAAATTTCAATTCCTCGGAATTGCAATTCTCTCCCACCAAACCAAAGAATTTGCTTGCCTTCAAAATTAAGTGGGAATGAAATTGTAATTTCCTCCAACCAAACGCCCTGTAAGATTATGAATTATGTACATGAAATAAATTAGTAACTTGTGTAGAAACATGAGAAATGGAAAAACTGCAGAATCTGTTAAAAATTAAAAATCAATACGACGTCATTTTGAATACGCAATTACGAAATTTATTCACATTAAAATGCAAAGTATTATAAATATACAAATTATTGAAAATTTTATGGTGCACAATGTTAGTTGTTGATGTAGAACTTAGCTTGTACTTGAGTCATTCGCAATTGTTAATATTTTAAGATCATCTGGAATGTTGACCCGAGAAGCAACAACGTACCATATGGATTGTTGATCGGAATGCATTTCTTTGATTTGTTTTTTTGAGAATAATTATTTATAAAGGACTAAAGGAGGTTGTAACATTTTGAGTTGATATTAGATGTTCATTCTCTATAATAAAAAAAATGTATAATATTATATACATATATTTAATATCAAGAATTATGTAAATTTATTTTCTAACATATATTAAAAAGTATTAAGCCAATTTATTTATCAAAACATTTATGCCAATTTATTCGTTTTCAATTTTTCTTTAATTTGAAAAATCACGGTCCCTCTACAAAGTATTACTTGAATTTTTAGTATATATCCTTTACCTTCCAGATATACCAGATATAATTAGATATGTGATTTGGAAATTGTATATTATATATAGGGGGTGATCACATGTGGCCATGTTGTTAGGTGTGGTCATATAGTCAACTATAGGCCATTAGATTAGATAGATCCAATGAATCATATTAATCAAGATTCTTCTAGTATTTTCGCGCACATTCTCCTATCCAGCGAACTGCAAGGGTAAACTCGTCATAAAACACCGGAATAGTGAAAATCACATTGTTGTGTGCTTTATTACACTATTGGTGCATGTTGTCAACACTGTTGGTGTATTCTGGAACCCGCCGGTCGCTATAAATGGCCACTGTAATTACCATAACACGGAAATACACCATTGGTGTGTTTCATTGTGGTGTGTTTTATTACACTATTGGTGTATGTTGTCAACACTGTTGGTGTATTCTGGAACCCGCCCGCTATAAATGGCCACTATAATTACCATAACACCCACACTTACTGAAACGCGCGAAAATCCTCAGAATTACCACTGTCATTAGATTAAACTGATTCAACGACACAAATACGACCACACCGCCACACCTAATGACATGACCATATATGAGCGCTCTTCTATATATATATATATATATATATATATATATATATATATATATATATATATATATATAATTACGCAAATGAATTGATATCTTGGCTAGAGGTCAATATGCTTGGATTTATGCAAATCTGTAAAATGGTAGCTTATGTGTTGTATAAACCCGTAAATATTATTATTTCTGTCTTGAGTATTTTAGGAAATATAACAGTACAAATGAAAAGCATTTCCTAAATAATCTTATAATTTATTATGTTAAACTAATAATTTTGAATTAACATTAAATATAATTCAAAATCTCTTTATACATGTAGTATTATCTTTTTAAAGGTTTCATCTAAATTTTTTTTTTTTTTTTTTGAAAATAGGTTTCATCTAAATTTAGAGTGTAATGAATTTATAAATTTAGATATATATTTAGCTTGTATCTTATGTGTGGTATAAA